AAGAAAAGTTAAGTTAAGTATTAACTTGAGAAAGAGCATGTTAATGAATTTCTATAAGATTGGATGAGTTAAGAATCCTAAAATCTTATTGAGTATACGAGCATAGTACTCAGTATATTTGTTTATATTTGATGTAACTTGCAGATTCCGTTACAGCACAGCACTTATCGATTTACAAATGATTTCAAAGACAAAAAGGTGGGGACCCTGAACGGGTATCACATTGAGTACGATATCGATAGAGTTGGGATGAGGAGACAATCAGTTGTCTCAGACTATATCCTAAGTAATGATTATACGCTTGGGATGAGGAGGCATTAAGTTGTCTCATGAGTATATCCTAAGTTCTGATGGAGGCCACCGAGTTGCCTGAGAAATATCCATTAGAATGTGCACATGTACTTAATCAGAAGAGAAAGAGAAAAGTTTAAGTTTAAGTACCAGAACAGATTTCTGGTTACCCGATCAGATATCGGTATATGATTATCTTTATCGTTACTCACCCCCATGAGTTTTAGTTTTAGGTGACAGATCGAAGAGAAGGTGTGAGTGGAGCAGTGTTGGTGTGGATCGTGGATTCAGATGACGACAAGCTTATTATGGACATTTATAACAGTCTGTAAAATTTACTACGTTTTCAAGTAATTCCGCTACGCACATTGAATATTGAACTTACATTTTAATGAATTTATGATTTGAAGTTTTTACCAAAGTGAGAAGTATGAATATGGTTAAATGCAAGTTTAAAGGAAATCTGTTTCTTTATGTCTAAAAGAAGTATTAGACAAAGTTTAAAGATAAATGGATTTTCAAGATGATAAGGTTGAGTAGCATCCCGAGTTATTCGCAAAATATTTCGAAATAGATATAAGTAATTTTGAAGTAAAAGTTGCGAAAAAGTTACTCTGATAAGCGGGGTGTTACACGGCGGCCGCAGTGGTGAAAAACGTGAAGGTGGGTGCAGCCAGTTGCGTGCTCACGTGGTCTTCGGGGGAGCTCTGAATATATTTGGTGTCGGTTCGACTGACGGGCTTGGTTCGGCGAACAACCCAGTTTTGAGCACGTCAGACTGTGTTGCTATTTTCGGTTTGTTTAATGCTCAATGGGAGTCCATTATTAATCTTGTTACTTCTGCTCGCAACAATTCTCCACTTTCTGTTAAGCGCAACTCCTCTGATTAAATGTATGACTGCAGTGCATCGCACCATTTCACAGGTTTTCTGGAGTTCTGTTCTTATATTAGAGATATCCCGCCACATTCCGTACAATTGCCTAATGGCACGGTTACTATTGTCGGTTTGGCTTGGACGGTCAAACTTGGTTATCATGTTGTGCTTTATTATGTTATTTTCATTTCAAGTCTTCAGTGTAACTTGATATCCTTATATCAATAGTTGGAACAAGCTAGCTGTATGGAAATTATGTGCTATTCAGGACCACAATACGAGTATGTTGACTGGATCGGGTGAACAATTAAGGGGACTGTATTTCTTTCGAGGGACAGTTGATGCGACAGCTTCTCGAGTGATGGCCCTATGGCACAGACGAATGGACATCCTTCTTTCTCACTACTTGCTCAGTTTCTTTTTATTATTCTAGTTCTTCGATGATATTTCATTTTTACTTTGTGAAGTTTTTCCGGTAAAGATGGGTGTTGGCATTGAGATTATGGTATAAATCATCATTGGGTGAGGGAAATTTTTAGATTTAATCTAAGTTGCTAGATTATTTTTGTTTTGGTGCTGAAAGTACGTGCTTATTATAGTTAAAAGTTGAGACTTTGGGTCAATTCCCTAATATTTAGATTTGAAGGTTCGTGTTTAGCCTCTTAAAGAACTTAGGATAGTAAATGATACTTTGAGTCTGTTTTAGGGAAGTGTTTTTGGTCTGGGCCCTTCGCCTGAATGTTTTATGTTTGGTCTTTTTGGTCTGGGCCGTTGGCCCATGTGTTGATTACCCCGTGGGGGCCGATCCTATTCTCCTGTGGGGAGGGATTTTAGTTGTCAGTACGTTTTGAGTCTGTTTTTATTTTAGTTTGGCTAGTTGAGGTTCTAGGCGGTCTTCTGACCTGTCTTCTCAGTTTTTAGTTGGTAGTTGTCTTATTCAGCTATGGGCTGTTTTGCATTTTTGTGCCTTTTGGTTATAATATCTATCGTTTAGAAAAAAAAAATGATACTTTAAATAATTTTTCTCAAACCATACCTCTCTAAATCTTATTTGTCATTGGTGAGTCTGGTTCTGGTCTTGAATTTACTAAATTGCTTTATTAGGTAACTTGCTTCTTAATTTCCTTAGTTAAATCTAGTCTAAAACAATCTATCACTCAACTTAATTAGAATGTTTAGGTTTATTTACTTCTTTAATTAAAGAATGAAGCTTCGAATAGTCCTCATTTAAGAAAACGACATGAGACTGGAGTAAACCAAAACTCAGTAAACAAGAATATACTCAACATAGATTTTAAAAACTATTGCGTTTACAAGCCTATCTAATTAATTAATTATTATCCGAGTCATGTTACAAATATGAATTTTTGTTAAATACGATTTTAAAACGTGTGAGCCTATCACTTAAACTTTAAAATTAATATATAAGAGGACGTGATTTATGCAATTGGCAATCAAAATCAAAATGTTAATATGATACAAATTTATAATTGGCAATCAAATTTACATGTGAAAATTGTGAAATTTCAAAAACCTTTGTAAAAGTATGTCATAGCATAACATAATAAGCCCTTGAGAAACATCTACTAATCTTTAGAACAATCCAAGAACACATTACTCCTTTAAAAGAAGGCTTCCTGCATAAAACAAGGAAATAAGAAAGATGCTATACATTTTTTTGTTATTTACAAATAAAAGTTGAGATTTATCTTAAGGCAAACAAATTCAATGAAGAAGTTCAAAGAAACTTGGAACTTATATATACACAGACCCAAAATAGCAAATGAAAAGGTAGATAAAAACCATTGATATATTTGTGTTTATCCTGTAAAGAAATATATTAAAATATATCAAATAAGGCACTAAGCAATCAAATTTCTTCTAGAACATGTAAAGAAAATATAAAATACTATTATATGACTGTTCAAAGATACAAATGAATGACTAGATATTAACCACATGCAAGATTTTTTTACAAAAAGTTGCAATATTGTAATGATTACTAATATCAGTCAAAAAAAAATACTCAACTTGCAATACTATAATGATTACCAACATCAGTTAAAAAGATACTCAACTTGCAGAATGTATTATTGTGGTTCTGATTTGATAAGTTTAATAAAACAAAATTTTAACAAAACAATAATGTAATCAATTTTCTTATGTTGGACCATTCTATAGCCCAATTGTTCTTTGAAAACATCGGCCCATTAAACAATACAACACAAAAATACCAATAAATAGAATTTGGAGTTAAAGAAAATTTCCCTGTAATTTCGTTGAATTTATGCTGAAAGAGATATCAGGTGGATTCGTCAAATTGTGAAGTATCAACTGCAAGACGAATCCATTAACCATCCACAGGGCCGTCTCCAGAAATTTGGAGGCCCTATACAAGTTTTTTCTTTTCAAATTTTTCGATTTGAACTTGCGTGGTAATTAGGCTATTTGCAGATAGAATCATGGAAAAAAAAAATCTAATTAAAAAAATAAATAAATAATTGAAAAAAAATTATTATTTTTCTAGACTTTGGAATTGATAAATTACCTATAAGTTACAAAGATCTTTAATAATTTACATTCAATTAGTCATTAGAACAACAAGGAGAAGAAAATAAAAATCATATCACTGCAAAGAATGTTTATTCTCACACAATTGTTCTAACCGAACATCATAAGAAAACAAATGAAACATTTAGGACCTCAAATTTTCACACAAAGTATATATTTTGTCATTAAACTATTCATTAATTAAGCTCGTTCACTTGTATAATGGACCAAACTCATCACAAATACGTAGTATTGAAAAATAAAACGGGGCCCCAAATATAAGGGGAGGCCCTAGGCATGGCCCTAGGCTGCCTCCCCAAGGAGCTGGCCCTGACCATCCATACCTCCATGCCAAGAGTCCTGAAAAAGACGAACATGAAAAAAATAAAAACCTAAAGAAACTCAAATCAAATCGGATATAAATTAGGCAAAAGAAAAAAAAAAATTACCTTCGAGGAAGAATACCAGACCCTCAAGCAATCTTCTTCCCATCCATCCATCAAACATTAGGAAGAAGCCAAGGTATGACCTGTATCAAATGCGTCGAAGGATCCATTCGAAAGAACAAATACTTTAAAAAATTAAGCTTTAAATTATAGGAAATACAAAAATAATGACGAAAATCAATCGAAAACACGAAGCAAAAGATGAAAAAGAACCGACTACAATGGAAATCGAACGCATGTGAATAGAGAGACGAAAATACCTGTTGAAGCACGTCAAAATCTGGCTGAAATGAGGAGGAAAATTCCTAACAATTGAAGCAATGCAAAAAGAATGAGTTTAATCAATCGAAACTCGAATAGAAAGACGAAGATTAATCGACTTCAGTGGAAATCGAACACATGCAAACATAGAAGAAGAAAATACCTGTGATGTTCGCGTGGAGCTGAAGTTTTGGGTGAAATGCGAAGGAAAAGGCTTAACAATTGAACCTAAACGGCGTCGTTTTGCAAACACAAAGGCAGCGTGTTTTATTTGAGTGTGACACATGTCGCATAGGGAAGGCAGGCACTTCCTTTATATATATATACTAGTTGGCTGGATGGCTGTGCACGCACAGCCGGCTCTAGTTCAGTCTATAATTATAACCAATATTTGTCAATATTTACACGTTCCCGTTTTTTTTGGCAAGTATAAATGTAAGAAAAAATACACACAGCCGGCTCAAATTTAGTCTATAATCGACTTAAAATTTGCCATTATTTGAAATAATCAATTGAAGTATAAAATTTGGATTTATTTGAAATAATCAATTGAATTTATACTGATACAGTTGAAATGTAAGGAGTCAAGTGCAGATCTCAATTGGGCCAGCTCGGCAGAAAGAAGTTCAATTTTTTTTGTGCATGGGCCTCAACTATTTTCGTCACGTCTTCGGCATAGCACATTGCTTGGTCCTTTGCGCCGCGTATCATCTCGACTACCTAAGTTGCCTTCTGAACTTCCCGAGTGGCGATTAAAAGGGAGGTTGTATCCACTGACTGATGGTTCCTCATGATATCAAGCTCCCACTATTCCTCTTCTTCCTTGTGAGTTGCTTCGATGCTTGCTTGCTCCAGTGCACATCGACCACACAAAACTTCTCAATCTCAAATTTTTCTTTTGCATGCTTTGGCCATCAGTCAGCTTCTAAACCCGCCATCCAAACATCAGTAGTTCTAATCCCGCCATGAGTACAAGAAGACAGAAAGTTTCAGATTGACCCGCTGACATTCTACGGATTCACCATCTACAATAACAATGTCAAATGTGAGACCATCATCCCCATATAACTTGAAGCAAAAACATCGGTAGTTCTAAACCCGCCATCCAAACAAATGCAAACCAGTAAAAATTAAAGAAAGAAAGACCCTAATAAAATTTAAAAAAAAAAATTGACCTGTGAAAAAGAAGTCGCCCAATTATAACACAAACCAGTAGATTGAAGTTGATCGCAGACGCTGAGTGCCGTAGCCATTGATTTTACTCCGCCGACTCATGATGATAGAGGAATTTTTCCGGCTCGGGTGAGAGTGCGTCACCGGTTGATGGGCACTTGAGGCCACGTGGGTCTGCCGAAGTGTCTGTGTACGATTGGGTTGCAAGAACAGGGAACTCAATGATTTAGGATAAAACTTTAAAATCAGGGGTTTATAGTCTCGAAGAAAAAAAAAACTTCAAAAAAGGGGTTTATAGTTCAAAAGATCGGGTTCATCAGTCATATTTACCGAAATGTATGCAGACGAAACCTTCCGGCTAATACTAATCTCAAGGCCATGACGACCCTATGGAAAACATTTATTTGATGTGATATTATTGCAAAAAATAGAATTACGGTGCAAAAAAACTTTCAATGGGAGACAAAATAGTGCATCAAAAAATGCTAAAACTATAGCTTAACTTACTGAAGCTCTTTTTTACCATTTTCCCGATAAATGAAGAAAACGAAATCATAGATGCGCGAGAACTCTGAAAACTCTGCCTATAACATAAGAAGTTTAGAAATTAATTTATTGAGAAGTTATACAGAAGCAGAACTACACCAAGCATATACCATGAGTTCTAGTCTCGACATCAGCTTGAAAACTTCGTCAAGAATTGAAGCTCCGATGAACAGAAAACTCATCGGTTAATCTTTTATCAACTACTTACATATATAAACAAACAAAAAGTGAAAAAAATAAAATAAAATAAGGAAATTTAAATATGATAATAATAACAATTTGCAAAGGAATAAAAGAAAACATTAAGGAAAAATAATACCTTGTACTGACATTCGATTCCACCACTTTCAATAACTCAGCTAATGCCTCTTTTGAGATTCTTGGCTTCAGAGAGCCGTCGTCTGGACCGTATCCTTCTCCCTCATTAGCAGTCACCTTTGATGTAATATATGAAATGAACTATTTGATTCCAAAACTCAGAACAAAACAATTGCAGAAGCGTAACCGCCCGCCGGGACCTGCTTTGGAGGAAATCCTGGCGACCTGCTTTGATTTCTTGCTTCTTTCACGGTTGAAGGTTTCATGGTTTTGGCTTTGGCCTCGTCATAATCGCTACCCATAGAATCGTCGTTGTCATCATCGAGACGATGGGACGCCGTTTAGGAACGTGTACCTTCAAGCATAGAAAAGTGACGATAGACGTCGGTTGATCTATATGAAGGTGGAGACCAACACCTCCAGCGCCGCTGCCGAAAAGAACGAAGAAGATGAATTGGGCGATGAAACATGGCAGAGAAGGAAGAAAGATGAGGTGTTTTTGTTTAAGGGGTGTGATGGGCTTTTGCGTGAGAATTAAGCGAACACCTTTCGCCGGAGTCAACCGCAATTTACGGTGGTCACATCTTGCAGAATTCGGTCCCGGTATGGCCGAGTGGAAAAGGAGAGGAAAAGGGAAATTGACTAATGGCATCAGCTGTAAAAAGAGGATAAAGCAGGGGCATTATCGTAATAAAAAAAGGGCACGTGTCAAGCCTCAATCCCTCATATTTTTACTTATATCTAATATAGAGATATATATAGTATGATACCCTTATACTACACAAGTATTTAAATATATTAATATTTGTACAATAGAAAATTTAAAATAATTTATCTTTTTATAATAACTAACAAATTTGTAATTAATTTAAAATGGGGCACGTATTTTTGTACTTAATTTTTTATTTTATTTACAATCTATTACTATATAATATGGAGAAGGAAAAATGTTTGAATAAATATTTCATTTCCCGCTTAAACATCATTTTTTCCCTCTTAAGTTTAATTTGAATTGTTTTCGTCCAAATTTGAATTGTTTTATTTTAGGATAAGATTTGGTTGTTTTTTTGTTAAATTTGTTATAATTCCTTTTCTTTAGGATGAGATGAGATGAGATTTGTTACCATTTTTTTAAAATCCGATTTGGTACATTTTTAATTCACTCGCTTTTCTTTTTTTTTTTCACGTTTTATTTCACTCGATTTTCCTTTTTTTTTTGATGGGTTGAGATTTGGTAAATTTTGTATTTTTAATTTTTTTAATTTTAATTCACGTTTTTAATTTTAATTTCACGTTTTGAATTTTTTCCTTTTAATTTTTTTTAATCCGATTTTTTTTTTCAAACATTCGGTAAAGTTTTTTTTATTTTTTTTTCATAATCCCGCCTACATTTCAATTGTAATTTATTTGGACGTATATCATAATCCTTTTTTTTTAATCGATTTGGTAGGAATCGGATATTTCCAATAATTCAAAATTAATTTTGATATGTTTTAAAATTATTTGATTTTCGTCTAAAATTTTTTAAAATACTATTTTTATTTTTTTATTTTTTGTAAAAAAATGGATGAAAAAGTCAAATTCAAATTAAAAAAAAAATGCTATTTTGAAAAAGATATTTTGTAAATCTTAAAAATATGGTCAACGATATCTTAAATACAACGGGTAAATATGGTCAATGATATCATAAATTATTTTTTATATTCAGATAGTTCAACTTAATTGATGATTTTTTTTTCAAAAAATATGACGATCATATAATTTATCATATATCATATGTTTATATTGGATGTTATTAGTTTGGTTGATGACATTCATTATATTCAAATAAATAATATGTAATTTTTTTATTTGGTTTTTCTTTTCTTACAATAATGAGATGTCAAACATAAATAACTATGTTTAATATAAAGTCTTAGAAAAGGTTTTAAGTAAAAAACTTGTCCGTGCATCGCACGGGATACACACTAGTTTATGAAAAAACACATTAAAATGACTATTTTTTGGTGTATTATTGAATATGTTTTTATTATATTTATTATAAAACTATTTATATCATTTATATTTTTGAAATATTTTTTTAATAAATTTAGTTTTATTTATAATGAAAGATGTGATTCTTTTTTATTTTATATATGCAGTATGGATGTCAAATCAACTATTGTCATAATATAGTTATTTTGAGATATAATATACAAAAAATAAAATACAAATAAAATTTTTTTAAAGATTTAAAAATAAAAAGAATACATATTTATAACAATTATTATATGAATTAGATAAGAAAGGGTAACCGAAGAGAGATTTAAGTATGAGACACAATAAATTTATAGTAATGAAAGAGAGATTTATTGGAGACAATAATATAAAATAAAATAATTATTTATAATTAATTTTAAGCCAATTTTATTTCTTAAATTTTTATATGAACCTAAATTCACTTAAACTTAGCACCTTTTGAATTAATATACAAGAAGAATGAGGAATAAGAGAATTTATAGTCGAGACTCGTAGAACGTGGTTGACTGGTTATTGACTTAATTGAAAAAAGTGAATCCTAAAAACCAACAAAATCCAATGGCAGCTTTGTAGTTAGCAGTTCATACAATTCTGTGCTTCGCTTACTCAACCCTTCCATGGCGATAATCTTCCTCATTATTATCATCTCCTCAATCTTCTCGCTTCAGCTGCTCGTCCGAAAACTGCACGAGAAGCATGTAAAGTCAAAGTACCATCCAATTGGCGGCACTGTGCTCACCCAGCTGGTGAATTTCAGCAGGCTGCACGATTACATGACCGACCTCGCTGGAAAGTACAGAACTTACCGGTTGATTAGCCCGTTGCGCAGCGAGGTTTACACCTCCGATCCGGCTAACGTCGAATATATGCTAAAAACGAATTTCGAAAATTACGGCAAGGTAGTACCCGAAAATGGGCTTTTCATTTTTCTCGAATTTCCGTTTGTATTTTCTTGTTAAATTTGCCAAGTTCTGATAATAATTCTATTGTTGATTGATATTTTTTTTAAGTGGGCTTTATAGTTGCTTGCTGTAAATGAGATCTGAGAAAAGCAAATGTAACTGAATGTTGAGATTTGAGAATCTTGTAACGTGGAGAAAGATTGAATTTTTAGTCCCTGGCATGCCCAAAATTTGTCTGCAAAAGTTTTGGGGGATTTCAACTTATCGTTTAAAATCAGATTTTTTGTGCAATCAAAAATTTCCAGCAAATTGAGCTCTAAATCTGAGAGTTTCTCAAGTGATTACGCCAAACAGTGTGATGCTTTTACTGTACTTATATTGTGAAGGGACTAAATTGCAACATACTTTTAGAAACTATCTGGCCGAGAAGATAAAAAAAGAGGGCAAGGATAGACGAAGCCAGTGGCCATTTCCGTTTTATTGTAGATGAAGTGTGTTGTCTGTGAGTGCTGATAAAAGCATGCTTGTGTCTGTACCAAACATTGTTTAGAGTTTAATGTTGGAGCTTGAGATTATGTACTGTTCATGATCTTTGCAGGGAGATTACAATTCCAGCATTTTAAGGGATCTACTGGGGGATGGAATTTTCGCTGTTGATGGTGACAGGTGGCGCCAGCAGAGGAAAGTGTCGAGCTACGAGTTTTCGACAAGGGTTCTGAGGGATTTTAGTAGTGTGGTTTTCAGAAGAAATGTCATAAGGCTGACTAACATATTGTCTCAAGCAGCAACTTCCAATGAACCAGTGGATATCCAAGTCAGTTTCTCAAAATAGCCACTTCTTATTCGTATTGCTAAAACTCCATTCATCCTTTCAAAATATCGAAATGCCGTCTCGAAAAAAGCCACTAACTAGAACAGTGTGTTTTGTAATTTTGAGGATAGATTTTTCTTTTCCGTAATTTGGTCAACCTCCGGGATGGTTTTGTAAATATTTCCAAACCGATTGTGATGATCCATGCAGGACCTTTTCATGCAGGCGACTCTGGACTCGATATTTCGAGTTGCTTTTGGGGTGGAATTAGACACAATGTGTGGTTCGAACGAGGAAGGTAAGAACTTTAGCACTGCTTTTGATAATGCGAGTGCTTTGACGCTGTGGAGATATGTGGACATTATGTGGAAGATAAAGAAATTTCTCAGAATAGGTTCGGAAGCCAAGTTGAGGAGTAATGTCAAAGTGGTTGATGAGTTTGTGTACAAGTTGATTTCGAGTAAAACCGAGAAAATGAACAAGTCAGATGACGATCCCTCGGTAGGTCAATTAACACTTGTTATCCTAATTAACAAAAATAGAAGAATGGAAAAGGAAAAATATAACCACCTAGCTAGTTCTTTTCCAAATTTTCAATATCCCCTTGATATTTGTTTTGTTCTTTAAGGATTGCACTCTCTAGAATGAGTGTCTAGTTTTAATCATTACCTTGAGTGACGAGTGTTTTTATACCCAGTTAAATTTTCAAAAAAGAAAAAAAAAATTCTTTGATATATGGTTATTCCTTACATATTGCTCTCTCAAGTGGGGGACTATGAGTCTGGCTTTTTATGGTTGAAGTGAATTGAGAGGCAGTGTTCAAGTTATTCTCTCAGTTAACTTGTCACAACTCACAAGTGCTCAACTAATTCTGTTTTTGGCCAGATTCAAAACTTCAAAAAGGAAGACATCTTGTCGAGGTTCATTCAATTAGGTGAAACTGATCGCAAGTACTTGCGTGATATAATCCTGAATTTTATAATTGCCGGGAAGGACACAACAGCAGCAGCTTTGTCCTGGTTTGTTTACATGCTCTGCAAGCATCCTCTTGTTCAAGAGAAAGTGGTAAAAGAAATAGAAGTCGCAACAAACTCAAAAGATGCATCAAATATTCCAGAATTCGCATCTCGTTTGAGTGAGGAATCTCTCGAGAAGATGCATTACCTTCATGCTGTACTCACAGAAACTCTGAGGCTTTATCCTGCAGTTCCAGTGGTAACAGAATTTCTTGTTTTTAATTTTTTCATTTGTTTAGAGATTTTTAAAGAAAAACTACATTCAATTTTTTGTTCATACAGCTTACTGTCCATTCAACCTGTATGGATTTGTTTGGATTGCACTTATTATTCCTATTTTGGATACCATTTTTGCTACAAATAGGATGCAAAATTATGCTTATCAGATGACACATGGCCAGATGGTTTCAGTGTGAGAAAAGGCGACATGGTAGCCTATCAGCCATATGCAATGGGTAGAATGAGATTCATATGGGGAGATGATGCCCTAGACTTCAAACCAGAAAGATGGCTAGATGAGAACGGCTGCTTTAAACCCGAGAGCCCCTTCAAGTTCACGGCTTTCCAGGTAAGCAGAAATCGAGTTGAGTCAAACATTTTTCCGTTCAGGCTCTAGCTTTCAAATTTTTCTTTACTCTCCATTTTTTGAGTTGCAACAGGTGCCTACTGCCTCTCCGCAGTTTTGACTAAAATGTACATTTCTTTTTCAAAATAACAACCAACTCCTGTATGTGTTTATGAACTCTGTGTTGAGGCTCATATTTTTGTACTTGAATAAAGAAAGATGACAAAAACTTGTTTATCTGAGAGTAAATTCACAGGGTTTATGGGATAAATGTTCCTAAACAGAATTGAATTGTGACCAATGAACAGGCTGGCCCGCGAATATGCTTGGGAAAGGAATTTGCGTACAGGCAGATGAAGATATTCTCAGCCGTTCTTCTGCGATTTTTCTTCTTTAAGTTGAGTGATGAGAACAAAGAGGTCAAATACAGGACCATGATCAATCTTCACATTGACGGGGGACTCAGTATACGTGCTTTTCACAGATTAGAAGATAAATCCACATGAAAATTGTAAGAGAATGTAAAGCATACTTGTTCACAGTTCCTTTGTGGGTTGCTTAAATGTATCCTGTCATGTCCATTGTATGAAAAATGCTTAGACTCTGCAAATGGAGTGTCATTTGTCTGGGTAACAATTAAATAGAACAGGCTTCACTGCCAAACGGTTCGATATCTAAACAAGGACCTTGTTTCAAATCAAGTGTCACGCCAATTGTGCACTCTCCCATTACCCAAACTAGTGAGCTAAAATAAATACAGAAAACATCATGGACCATCCCTGCAAATTTAAAGTAGGTAAACAAATAACACGATCAAATATGAACAAAAGTTGGGAACGAATGCAAAAAAA